GATCAGTGTCAAAAAGTTCCCTTTAAATAGCGCCGGGCCGTTGTAACTTTCGCACTCACTCGCTTTTTCGGAATAAAGCTGTCGTGTTCCTTGTTTCTGATTTCTTTTTTCTGGCGCCAGGCACTGGAGCGGACAGCAGTCAGATATAACAGATTGGCGACGCCCGAACCCACGGAACCATGAACTGCTGAAAGAAATTCTGCTGCAACAACGAAATCAGTTTGAAGCGCCGCAATTACGTTTGGTGGAAACATTGACGCAGAAACTTAAAATTCAATCACCAAACTCCGCTCTAGATACAAATTTAGTCAACTCGGTCACCAACGCCCTCACGGAGTTCCATAATGACGATGATGCTGGTCTAACCTTCGATTCATGTTTCAGACGTCACGAAAATGTTTTCACAGTCGAAATGAAGCAACAAGATGATGTCTGGAGGGTACGCTTATTGCCCAGAAAGCTTGGTACAACGGAGCACACACACCACACTGCTGACCTTAATTGATGGACCATTTGTGTTTACAATGAATGCACTCAATTTCGAGTTTTTCCCCCCAATAGGGACCTCCCTCCCTAACGGAACCCCTGGCCGAGGTCAACTAAGGACTACCACTGAGTTGCTAGGTGAAATTCAGACCCCCGAGACCCTACAGCCAGCTGAGACCCTACAGCTCCCCAACAAGAACTATCTTCCTCCAGGCATCGTGGAATGCTAGTTGATTCCTTTTCACCTGTTTCTGTCCAGCACATTCTACAGGCATTCGTGATATTACGCGGTGAATTTGACAAGCAGCTGGTATTCCGGGCCACGTGCAACAAACAATGCCGGGAGATCTATAACTTTGTTTGGTGTAGTCATGGCCAAATGTGTTTCAAAGTATTATGGGCTCACTAAATTGACGGATCCTCATTTGTGAAGCTGTAATCCAGGCGATCGATGCAAGTCGTGAGATAGTGATGCTACGGGGGAACAATATGATTCCGTCTCTGAAGTCCCTCCAAAGTTGGACACGATCTAACTGGTAGAAAGCCGTCAAAGCTTAACAATACATGGGTTTCATTAACGCCGAAAAATACTCAGGTCGTGGGACTTTTGCGCGCTGTTTTTTGAGTTTGGACACGCCTAAATCACATTGGCAGATGTAGAGTGGATGATTCTACGCACAGAGAAGCCTCTTTCGCATCCCATAATACCGCACACGTTCAGATCGTCTTGTGAAGACAAAGCATGTTTGATCATGACCAGGCTGCTAAACCCATAACTTCAGTTTCAGACCGGTTATCAGGTGTGCTCAATCTTTGAGATGAAAACACATCGATCATTCCGATAAACCAATACCAGGCTGATTTGATCCAAATGGGTACCGTGGCCTCACATTTCACTGGCGTACCTAACAGCGAAACGAAAGCTGGCTCCCTTATTGTGTAACACCGACGCGTGCGACAGTTGATTAATTTAAATCAAATCGTTCAGCTGGTGCCTAGCTTCCATGCCCCCCGAAGGAAGCACGAGGGCTGGGATACTGCCAGGTCGCCCAAGCCTAGGCAGGGGAAGTCGAGACGCAGAGGTTGGGTCCGAACCACGGACCTTCAGTAAATTTGCGCTCTAACCACTTAAGTCATCTTGCCCCCAAGATTGGTTCACAGGACAGTTAATTT